AGAGACGAGTTAGCTTCGATCAGGGAAGAGCTGATTGTGTGTACCGAGGCGAACTATTCTGAAGCGTTAAAGTTCAAATCGATCAGCTACGGTTCGTGAGGAAGAGGAAGGGAGGGGAGAACGGTTTAATATCGTTCCCACGGAACGTGGCCACGAGAGCGGGAAATTATTTTCCTTGGCGGTTTGCAGTCGTCCAGGCGCGGGACGAACAAATCGGCTCTTCCAAAGTGGAGAATGGCGATGTTTCTTTTTTCCCTTTCTCCTCGAATAAGAGGGGAGAGAAGGGAGGGAGATAAGTACATATACACTTACACACACGTAGAAACGGCCGTTGTCCACTCGTAAATTAACCGATTCCGTTACTTTTATTTCATTATTCCATTCGGATGGAGCGTTTGGTGTTTGTACCTCACTTTAACCTCACTTTCGGAGTTTTTGTCAAGGTAAACAAGATTTTTCAACCTACGTTTCGTTTCCCTTCACTTTACAAAGTGTGTTTTCAATGTATATAATTCAATGTTTTTGTTGGCAGGAATTTTTTGTTCTCGTGAGTGAAGTGTGATAAAATAACTCTCTTAGAGCACGGAGAGAAAGAGAGAGAGAGAGAGGGAATACTGCCTCTCCATTTGTCGCAAAAGGATCTTTTCCACGAGGCGAATTACACTAACGGAAACAAACTTTTAAAATCTTTTATTTTAGATTTTAGTTCTGTGTATTAAGCGTTATAACGAGTTATTTATTTTTAATTAAGAAGAAAAGAGAACAAAATAAATCCCTTAGGTTTCCAATCCAATTAAAACTTATTCAAAAACGTAGAGCTGGTGTTTGCAATTTATCGCGTGAACAAGAAACAGGGTAATCGGTAAAAACAAACAAATATCTTAATGCACGAGCGTGCCAAGAATTCACCCGTGTTTTCAATGCTCGTAAATTAGCACTTCCCCTATTATTCTGCTCGAGCTATTATCCTACTCGAATAGTAGCGAGCGTGCACCTGTATATTTGCACACACAATTCTCCTTTCTTCTCTTCTCGGGGGGAGAGGAAGTGAGAGAGGGGGAGAAGAGGGCCACTCTTTCCGAGTGACCGAGTTTTCGCCGAGCAAAAGCTGGAAAACGCGAATTTAATTGAGAAGACAAAGCGGGCAAAGAAAGGCCAGAAGGAATGAAGGGTTTGGATCGAGGATTGACGGTTGTCGAAGGGAAAGGCTAATTCCGGGGAAGGTTAATTTCTCGGATATCGATTTTTACGCCACTGATCCTTGGATTGTCTTACTCGATAGATTGAAGTTATGGCGGTAATGAAAAAAGGATCTTAATTCGTAAGATTAAATCCTTAGGGGGGATTAAGAATTGAGATCATTTCCATCGTACGTGAATTGGTAAAGAATCTGGATAGAAAATTTTTTTTCTAAACAGAAGAACGTTGAGATTCTATTCTGATTATTACAAATTTATTCTGTATATCTTTAAACACATCTTATTGCGAATAATTAATTGGACGAAAAGCAAAGGGAAAATCTCCTAACCTAAATATTTCTGCATTTTATAAAACAGAACGAAAATTTTTCTATTCCCTTATTTACGATATTCACGAAATAACAAAATTAAAGAATATATTTTTTCAGGGGAAAAAGATAGCTCTCGCATAGATAGCTTCAACAAAATTGTTACATTTAATCTTGGCGATTCAAATACGGTCGATTCAACCCGATCGTTCCCAATGTAACAAGTTGGAAATTTTTTTGAAATTCACAATTGATGCTACTTGGGTGGAGGGGGGAGCGGGAGGAGGAGGGAAAGAGGAGGAAGAGGGGGGGGAATTACGGGCGGAATGCGAAATTTTTCCACCAACGTGGCTTTTAAAGCGGAAATCTCATTTCGGTGTCGCGGCCACGTGCGCCGTATAAAGAATTCATACCGGAAACCGCTTTGCATCCTACTTTCCGGATGGTTACGTGGGCAACGTTCGATGAGCGGGCGTATCCTCGTGATACACGTGAACACAGCAGAACGAGATATCCATTTTCGATTCCCCTCTTATTTTTTTTTTTTTTTTTTATCATCGAATTTTTTCTGCCCATTTTCGTGAAACTTAACGTGCGTATATTCGTGCCAAATTACGTAAGATCGCTACGTTATTCACGAGATTATTTATAAAGATATTCTGGACTATTTACTATTATTTATTATTTATTTTTTACTTTAGTTAATGTTTTAATTAGTTTGGCGTTTAACAAATGTGAAAATATGATATATCAAGTGTTATCTATGATTATCTATGATATTTGATTCGAAAATTGGAGGAAAAATGCAAATGACGGTCAATTGGATATTAACTTGAAATTAGATTGTTGATACACGAATAATTTTATTTTACATTAAATTTATATATCGATTAATATAAACGAGACTCTACGATATAACAAAACGAATATACATAAATTCTGCAATTCAACGAAAGAAGATAAATAAATATCAACTGAAACTTGATTCGTCGTTCTCTGTTGTTGCCAACTTTTAATCGTGATTTGAATCAAAAGCAATAGGAATTCCCTCGAGAGCATTGGATATAGTCTTAATGTATTCAGGGGCTAAAATTGTGGCTGTCGTTATATATGTATCCGGTGATTACATTTTATTTATGTACACATGCACGTTCGATCTCTGGGGGAGGTGTGTATAAGTTAAATTTCACGACGACGAAACTTAATAAAACTTTCGAAACCGACCCGAGATCCTTGTATTGAACTTCTAAATTAACTTCAGCACGAGTCTTTTCGAATTTGATCTTCTCTTCTCCCGGCGATACAACTGAATATCTTGTTTGTTATTATTCTTGTTATTCTTTAGTATGATTTCACTAGGGAATTCACCAGGATATAGGGAAATCACTTTCGACTCAATCGTGATTCTCCATTCGTTATTATTTCAAAATTCATTTTTGTCGAGAATAAAATTGGAATATTTTTATGGTTAACTCTCGATTTTCCATCGTTAATTCCTTTAAATTATTTTGAATATTTATTGAGTTACATTTTATAGGGGAAACTAAAATAAAACTAAAATATTTTTGGTTAACTTTCGATTTTCCATTTTCGTTAATTCATTTAAATTATTTTGAATATTTATTAGATTCATATTTTATAGGGGAAACTAAAATAAAACTAAAATATTTTTGGTTAACTTTCGATTTTCCATTTTCGTTAATTCATTTAAATTATTTTGAATATTTATTAGATTTATATTTTATAGGGGAAACTAGAATAAAACTAGAATATTTTTAGTTAACTTTCTATGATTAATTCCTTTAAATTATTTTAAATATTTATTGGGTTTATATTTTTTTATAATTTATAATGGGATTAAGATGAAACCAAGAATTTTCTGTGATAAAAATTTGGTCTGTGATAAAAATTTTTTTTTGTTAATTGTGAACTCTTTCCAACAGTTCCTTACTTCCTTACTTGCTGGAAACATAGGTTTGGAATAATTAGAGCATTGCCTATATAACGTTTATGCGACACAATATTCCAACTATAGAAACGTTGTATGCAAATTTGAAAAGCAAATAATGAGATAATAAAGGCAAATGCGGAGCAAACGTGTGCGCGCGCGCGCCTCTAAAATACGGGAAAACATTCAAATCATCCCGACAACTATAAACGCTACTAGGATTATTATGCCGCGTGGAAATTACTAAAACATTACTAGTGGAAATTTGAATAATGTTACGCCTAATATAACTTAAGCACAACGCATAATTTCGAGATTATTTTGAGAAAGGAGCGTTAGAAATTCCTGTAGACGAAGAAAGATTGAGAAAGAAAGAAAGAAAGAAAGAAAGGAATTGGATTAAAGGGAAGAGAAGAAGAAAAAGTATGACTTTTACATCTTTTGCATATTTAAAAAGATGGAGATCAAATTTATTTAATCGAGTCGTATAAAACATGGGATGAGATAAAAATGAACAATCTCCTTCTTCCTTTTGAGAGAACACAAGAACACGGTCCAAGCAACTTTTTGAAAAAATATAAAAAAGAGATCCAGAGCAACATTCGTTAAAAATTCCTCCTCCTCCTCCATTTTCCTTGTTTTTTTTTTTTTTTTTTTTTCTTATAAATTTATGCGAGCATGCAAAAAGTCGCGGCATTAAAAGTTATATAACACTTGTTCAAGAATGTTTCAAGCACTTTGGGTAGTTCTAAAGATATCATCGGTCCAGGAAAATCTTCTGGCATAACTTAAACTTTCGTTTTGCCCGCGAAATAAGTTACGATTCTGTGAATTTATGTTTTCTTCTACGGAGCCAATGCCAAATTTCACAAGAAGAAAAAAAAAATCCTTGAAAAAATCGTATTGAAAATTCTTCTCTCTCAATTAAATAAGAAAATATATAAAAATTATACTTTTTTTGTACAATTATGAATATAACATAATTTTCTAATTACTAATTCTCAAAGAATCTCATTTTTTTTTATTATATGCTCTTTAATTATCCATAACTAAGAATCATCGAACAATTAAAAAAAAAAAAAACGAAACAAATTTTTATCTTTATTCCTTATATTTCTTAATTTAATTCAAACACAAGTTTAATCATCAACACGATTCAATCGAAAATTATCGATAGAAATAAATTTCAAATAGTCAATATTTTTAATCATCAAATACAATATTTTTAATCATCAAATCGCCTCTGTCGATTCTCAGACACCCGGTAGATTTACGCGATAAATTTATCCATTGCGACACATTTCCCCGCACGCGAGATTGTTTTATTATCTCGTCCCAGTGGCGTTTTACATTTCCATAAATAAATTCGTATTTCGCCTTGAAAAAAAAAAAAAAAAGATAAAACGAAAGAAAGAAACGAAGAGTCGTTCGATACGATTCAAATCGTCGACGAATTGTATCCAATTAAAAAAAATATAATTCGTATTCGCTCACACGGATGGCACACGGATTCTCAATCCTTCCACTCGTGTTTTTCTGTTCCAGTTGTGTGCGGCGTCGGAGCGGATGTGGCGTACCATCAGCACGTCATGGGGTTTTACGTTACGTGAGGATAATTCAACATGCGTATGCCGTAATTCAACTCAATTATCAGATACAGAGGAGCAAATATCAAAATATTGGGATAGAGTGTGATAGAAAGAGAGAGAAAGAGAGAGAGAGAAGAATTCCTTGTTCGATTTTGTTTCTTTTCTTTTTTTTTTTTTTAACTTTTTATAACGATTATATATAAATTGAAAAGGGGATTAATGATTAGGATTGTATTTTATTTATTTGTAAGTGGTATAATTTTTTTTTTTTTTTAAGAATTTGGAATTTGAAGTGGAAATTTTAAATTTAATTATTAGGTATTCGATGGAATGATTGAATAATTATTTTCTTTTTTTTGTTCGATTTTTGATAATTTGTCTCAATATTATTATTATTGTTGTGGGAAGGATATTGTAAAATTTAAAATTTAGAGTTTTATCAATTATTTGTATAGAGGATGATATTAAATAATGAATTATTCAAATGAAAGGAGAAGAGAAATATTTCTTATTTGATTAATTTGATCAAGTTTTTGTGATGGAATATTTATGGATGTTAATAAGTTTGTAATTAAAAGTTTTAAAGTTGATTAAAAGAAAAGGATAAATATCAGATTATCAGAAATGAAATGAAAATTAAAAATTACATTTGCAATATTTTATTTTAAAAAACATTAAGAATATTATATTCATAAAAAAATTGTATTTTTAACATTTCATCTATTGATTTCCATTGATTCGAATAACTAATAGTTAGAAAAATCTTAATTTTGATTAAATCTCACAAATGAGAAAAATTATGAAACCACATAACCATATTCATTTAAAAAAGAATCTAAATTTGAATTTGAAATTAAAAAAGGAGACAATGACATATTTAAAAAAATGACTCTCAAAAAAAATTATATCTTCTATCTTTTTCTCTTCATTTTCACTTATTTTTAAAAGAGGCATAATTATCCTATTTTATAATATATATGCTTATAATATAATATGCTTCTAACTTCTAAAATGAAATTGAAATTATCATCAACATCGTATGAGAAACACGTTATCTAAAAAATATTATATTAAAAGTACTATTTTCTTTAATATAATATTATACATTATATCAAAACACGTATTATTAAAAATATTCAATTTCATAATACTGATAAACAAATTAGAAACTTGCACAACTTTGCTTAATTAAATTTCAATCACGAAGAAAAATCATGACCAGAATCGAATTAATTCTAGAAAGAGCATCTTTTTTCCCCCCTCCCTCTCTCCTTTTTAACACAGCCGTCAGTCGCGAATCGAATCTATCCACGAAAAATCTAATTTCAAGGCTCGATTCGATTACCGACAAACGGAAGCTTTCGCAAGCGGAAACCGCCTAGAACGAGGTTACCGGCGACGATTACCGAAATTTCTCGATATCCCGTAAAGACCGGCGTTTTTCCGCCCTTGTACACGTGACATCGATCGTTGCAATCCTCCATGACGATTATTTTAATTCGGTTTAACACGAAAAAGAACGAAGGAAATAGAAATTATAATTTTTCGCGATATACAAGTAGGAAAAATATTACGTTATAAGAGAATGCATAAGATAAGATAAGTGAGTTTTATTCGAAACGAAAAGAATATTGGTGAAAAATATCGAAAATATTGGAATTTTATTCAAATTGATTTATTTACTTCGTCTAGATTTGAAAATATAAATATATCATCTTGTTTTAAATATTATTTGAAAGTACAGATAATATCAATTTATTTGGAATAAAATTAATCAACTATAAATTTTTACTTCTATCGAAAATACGACATTATTACGTAGAATATAATAATTCGAAAACAATAAATGGAACGAAATTACTATGCACCTCAATTTACTTACCCATGATTCATCGATGATTCGAGTTCATTTACGAAAATTTACGTATTTACGACGCTTTGTTCCGCTTTTTGGCACGCGACATCGATCGTAAAGAACAAGCAGATCGTCTTGCCACGAGGTCGCAAGCGAAAAAACGCGTACGTAGATCGTTCGAGCGTGGACTTTATTTTCGAGAGAAAAATAGCTTTGGCCTTGGTAGTTTTTTGCCTATCCCTACCACGGTCGCGTCGTATTTACGGTGTTGCAAAGGAAGGATATAAGAGTGTATAGAGAAAAGAAGGATGGAAATTGAGAAAAATGTTTTACATTTTCAATGTTATTGCATTACTCTGTACATCGGATAGTAACATGACGCATCCTTTGTAACGATAGAAGAGATTTGTATCCTTTATCCCCCCGTGATAGGGAATAAATGCGAATTAAAACGAGGATATTAAATGGAGGATAATAAATGTGAAAAGAATTCTCTCGAAAAGTGAAGATTGCGAATCAAATTGAATTAATGTTTTTAAATTTGTAATTCGTGTCGATGTATGTGAACTGGGCACCGGGTTTAAATAATGAAAAATTCGTATTTTTATCAAATGAAGTAAAATGGAAATTTACCACTGAAGAATATTAACAGTAAATTTAACAATTAATTGAACGAGTCCAAAAGCTACGGAATATTAAATTTAAAAATATTATTTTTAATAAATATTAGATTTCATATTAAAAATTTTTATATAGGTATAAAATCATTCTCGCAATCTCGTTTCCAATTTTAAAATAATGAATTATTAGATGCAAATTATAGATGTAATATTTCAAGAATTTTGACATGATTTTAATAGCGACAGTATTTTGAAGGAATATAAATTAGACATTTATGAAATATGTCAAAATATGCAAACCCGGATAGATGTAATGTGATGAATATGATATACGATCGCATATGAGGTAACAAATATACATTACATTAAAATATGTAAAGAATATGTCGTATATGCGATAAATATATATCGAGAACCAAGGATAAAATAATAAAATCTCCATTATTTGAAATTCAAATATTAAGATTATAATTTAAAATGTAACAAATTATATTTATCTCCTCCTGTTATTAACCGTAGTTAATTAAAAAGCTTTATCGGCTTAAATTTATTTATTACCTAATATCTCTCTCTCTCTCTCTCTCTCTCTCTCTCTCTCTCTGCTATAACGGAGGCAAATTTAAATTTATTTTAGTATAGCGCTGTTTAACTTCTCGATTGCTTCTCGATAACTTTATCTCCCCAAATTTCGCCAATCTGATCCACCGGATAATTAACTAATATTAAAATTAGAATTTCTGTTTAAAATGACATTCATAAATTTTTTTTCTCGTAATTACATTGAATTAATTAGCAACAATTATTCGACACGAAGAATATGTTTTTAGTTTTCCTTTTTTTTTTTTTAAATGGTTGGTAAAATTTGTTCGTTGAACGTAGGATATGAAATGGATACGAGAAATAATTTTATAAAATATGCAAATACCATACCATTGCATATGTTTTCGGGGAAAAAATATGCAAAATGTACGGTTAAAACTTTCCAAAGATAAAACAAGTTTTTATCTAGAGGCTCCACTTCATTATCAATTTTCTATCAAAATTTGCATTTGTATATAAATATAAATATAACTACGTTTAACAACTAACATGAAAAATTAATATTTTTCCTTGAATTTGCTGAATGATATTTTTTAATCATTATTTATTTGAATCGAATACAGCTCCAACAAGAATAATTAATTTTTCAAACTTGCTAATTAATCTATCCACTAATCACTATCAAGGAACGATATAACCCAGCCAATAATCCATAGCACGCATCTATATTAAAATAACATTATCGATTCTAAATATAACACAGTTAAAAACCGCAATTTATTTCCGGACAATCTAATATAGTACGTATCGATTCACAGAGTACATCGAAAATGCGCACACGGTTCATATACACGGCCCTCCAGAGTCTAAAACGCTCTAAAATCCACGAATCCCATATTTAACTCGACAATTTGGTACGATATCACTCGATGAATAAACCAATCTGCGAATCGATGGAACTGCCTTTACCGAATGAATGTGCGGTAAATAATCAATTTGGGAAGATGCATCGACATAATCGAGTCTCCCGTACGAGCAAACCTCGTTACACCTTTATTAAACGAGTCAAGTATATTAATATGACCGCGCGCCACGTGTGGGAAGAAAGGAGAAGGGAGGAGAGAGAGAGAGAGAAAGAGAGAGAGAGAGAGAGAGAGAGAGAGAGAGAGAGAGAGAGAGAGAAAGAGGGGAAAGGTCAATACCGAATTACGATTCCAAGTGTACTTAACCCGGGGGATGGGTACGACAAATTGCAAATTCGCAGATCACAGCCCCGTCGTTCCAGATTACGTTCCGCTAGCCTCTATGGAAATGCGTGTTTTGCATGCATACCGAACGAACGATGAAACATAATCGAGTGTTCGAATTACGAATTAAAAGTGGCACGCACTTTGATTAAGAATCGAAAGGAATATTTGATTTCGCGCCATTTCCTCTCTTGCCGTTTTCTTCTTTCTCCCTTCTCTCCCCCCTCCTCCCAGACACTCTCTTCTCTATTCTTTTTTTCTTAATTTTGGGCGAGAACGGTTTTTTGAGAATTGGAAAAATGAAATGGATATTCGTTTGAATTTATGTTATACGATAGGTTTTAATTAAATTTCCGGTGGAAAATTATTTTTGGAAAAATATGGGTGTTGGGAGATTCAAGGGATAATGTTATTAGTAAAATCGTTAATGAGGAAAACATTTTTCCAAGAATAAACATATTTATAAATATAATTTATCTTGAAATTGATTAAATTCTATTAAAATTAGAAAAAATTTGAATCGCTGTAATTCCGAAGATAGTGACTTCCGGTCAATGAATGAAAGACATTAAAAACGCGAAACTTTTTCCTTTAAAGTTTTCACTCATTTTAATACGACTTCCGATTTCCGAAATATCATCGTTTAAAAAAAAGATAGTTTTCAATCGTTTATCTAAATCTATTTTAAGATTAAACTCTATTAAAATTAGAAAAACTTCGTGCCGCTACAACTTCGAAAATAGTGACTTCCGGTC